TGTTTCAGTGAACGAATATTTTCACCAATCGTGTCTTTTATGTAGAATTTTTACGTCATAAATGTAGAGTTTTTGCATAATTTGTCAAAGTTTATAACAGTTTTCTATAAAATTAAGAGTGGCGCAAGCCCTGCCCACAAATACTTTTGCTGAAATATTTTTTATATACATTTTACCACATTCTTTACTCTTTAACCAAAATGTCAATGGGCGACGGGGTGGCGCCACATATAAATTCATAAAAAGGTCCAAAAAAGCTGACAAAGTAATAGAAAATGGAGTAAAATGAAATCTTTTCCTACTTCAAGCTAATATATTTATAATATATGAAGCCGATATACAATTAATAATACACACACACATAATATTTACTCAAACAATTGAAGTTTAACCAATACAACTTGACAGGGCCGTTTACTTTGGTTACTGGCACTTCTCCTTTGACTATAAAGGGTCTAAAATTGAAATGGTATAAAGGATGTCAAAATGCATTTGAAATTTTGGAGGAAAAGCATATTTCTGGACCCATTTTTAGTTACCCTATAGAGGACGGTCAATTCATTTTAGACACAGATGCTAGTGGTCGTGCAATAGGTGCAGTCCTTTCTTAGGTTCAGCAGGATAAAGAAAAGGTGATTGCTTATATATGATTCCGAAACGAAATATTGTACAACATATAGGGAACTCTTGTCAGTTGTCACTTTTGTCAAATGTTTTCGCCATTATTTGTTGGGTTAGAAGAATGCTGATTATCCTGGGTGTGATAAAAAAAAGTATTTCAGTGTCGCAAAAACCCAGATATATATGTTGTAGCACCTATTCGGCCTGAAAATATTGTCTAAGATGAAAGTATACCCTATGTCGAAGATGAAGGTGATATGAAAATAAGTTTGAATTGCCCCAAATTTCAAACTTATTAAGAGTTTGAACAAATGAGGAAAAAGTATCTTGGCAGGTTAACAACCCTGACATTTTAAAAATCATGGAGATGTTAAATCAGTTTGATCAAAAACCTAGAAAGGAACATGTTTCCGGGTGTTCATATGAAATTATGAGCATTTGGAGCCTATCGGAATTCTTTGCAATTGGAGAAAACATACCTTAATATAAACTGAAAAAGAATGATAGGAAAAAATCTTGTATTAGTAGCCTCAATGGAAGTGAGAAACCAGATTATGAAATAATTTCATAACTCAGTGATATCAGGTCATTAAGGTAGAGATCGTACAATTAGAGCTATCAAAATAGGTTTTATTGGTTTGTATGACACCAAACATAAGTTCGTGGGTTCGTAACTGTTCAGTTTGAGCTGAAGCTAAACCTGACCCAGTTATAGGTAGATTTCCTCTTCAGCAGCCTTTAGTGGGTTGTCCTTTTGACAGGATTGGTGTCGACATTGTGTAGCCCTATCACCTATTGTTTTTATTATTTTTGAATGTATTGGCATAAACAGTTTTGTAATTTCGTAGTTCTGAGGAATTTTCTTGATTTTCAGTTGTTTCTACTGGTGAAAATATAGCTTACAAATAATTACACAAATTATTCTTAATGAGAGACTACTGAAATAAGCTCCCAATTAGTTTTGTGGCCGAAAATAGTCAAATGTCATGGTGTACAGGAGGCAACTCTTGATATTCATCTCATTATAGACATAGGAAAATATCGCTTTAAACGAAAAAAGCACTTGAACGCAAAAATTTAATTATTTTAGAAAGTTCCAATGTTTTCATAATATTTTCCATAAAAAGTTAAGCTATGTTTGGGCAAGTTTCCGTGTGTATATAAAATTATTGAATTTGTTTAATGTCTCTGGTAAATGCATGCCAACTTGAAAAATAAATTTTAAAGGCAAAGCTGAACTCGATGATATGTATTAATACATTTTCATTAACTTTAGAGATTACTTTTTCCATTTTATAATTAGTCCTTGTAACAACTGTATGTCCGTTATCAAAGACATTGATAAACCAACTAGTGCTGAGAAAGCATGATAATCCGGAATTTGGTCGTCTCTGGTATTAACAAAACCTAAATTATAATTATTCACGTTTTGCCGCCAAGCGATAACTGTAGATATGAAAAATGAGGAAATGTGTTATGATTGCCAATGAGACAACTATCCACTTGGAGTCCAAATGAAGTGGCTTTAAGCATGCGCAATTATAGGAAAGTGTACGGTCTTCAACAATAAGAAAAACCCATATCGTATATATCGTAAATATGAAACAATTCAAACAGAAAACTAACGGCCTAACAAAACAATTTTCGAAAAAAACAAATATGACAGACATGAACCTACGACAACCATTGAACTACAGACTGCTGACTTGGGACAGGCACATAAAGAATGTGACGGGGTTAAACATGTTTGCGAGCGCTCAACACTGCCCCTACCCTAGGACAGTGGTGTACCAGCACAACATAAGAACAAACTACAGAAATCAGTTGCAATTGGCTTAACTCAAAAGATCGGTACGGGCAAAAAAAACAACTAATACAACAATAAACACAATGCACCGAAATAAGAGTACTCGTAGTTACGGACATCTAGTTCAAAGCAAAATACAACAGTTACTAATAAATAAACCATGTTCTAGATTATCAATCAGTACAAATGCATCGGAATTAGTTTAAAGACGTCATAAACAGTCTGAGAAATACATGACCTTGTGCAATGCCAAAATATAAGTTAACAGTATCGACAGGATGTAGGATAATGTATAGCAATATATATTTAGTTATATTTTAATTTTTCAAAAACAAAATCAATGTTAGTACCAATTAAAACAATATTTAAAGATTTTCATATTGTGTTCAATTGATAACCGTGAAAAATAAGTTTTATAAAAGGATCAATTAGTCTACATGGATCGTATCTAAATTTACGGGCTTTAAAAACAACATCACCGTAAAAATGGTTAAGGATACATTGTGGGTCCATATCATATTACTGAAAATGGGAATGAGGATTCAATTGCCGTAATGCGCTAACTGTTACGCAAACAAATTAGTTACAAAAATATTTTGTAGATTTGGCATGCCCCAAACAATGCATAGTGATCAGGGCAGGGAATTCGAAAATGTTATCAATGTTTGTTAATACATATAGGAATAACTGGAATGATTTATTGCCGGAAAATGATACTACCGGTGTCAATCAATAGGGAAATGGTATACCCATTAAGTATTATGACACAAAACTCGTTTACCACTCATACACCATGTCCAATTGAAATTTTACAGTGGCTAAATTACTCCTTTTGTAAAATGTTTTATTTTGCTGGGAAAAACTTATCAATAGCTGCTAACAGACAAAATAACAATTATACATGTAATAGGCGTCTTAAACCTAGTATGAGGTCAATGATTTTGATTGTAGGTGGTATCTCCCGACAGTAGGCATTACGTTAGGATTAGTATGGAGAGGTCCATATAAAGTCAAACCCAAGTTTCTGATGTAACCTGTAGAATTTAGGAAACCTACTGCTAGAGAAATAGTACTCTATGTAAATCACGTAAAACTGAAGATGAAATACAGTCGGACAAGTCTGATATTGAACCACCTTAATTTTATAATATGTCAGATCCTGAACTGTCTGGTTATGAGACTGAAGTTCCCATAATAGGGATTTAACTCCCACACCCTACTCAACAAAGAACAAGATTTGATAGAGCAATCAAAAAGCCAACAAGATATTCCCTTCAAGTTGTATATACATGTAGTTTTAAAATATTTTGTAAATAATGCAATTTGTATCGAAATTAACATTTAACTTTAATTTCACATATTACTAATTTTAAATCGATTGGTAAATTGATAATGCTTGAGAATTGTAAGCAGAAATAGTAAGGTATGTACTACTCGTGTCTGGAAGTTAAAAATTATAGTAATGAAAATAAAAACAGTTTGAAATAGAAGCATACTTACATGTTTTTACAAAGGTATAATTCATACATCATAGATTATGTACAAATGAACAGAATCTAACTATGTATATATATGTATTTACACAAACATTATCTAATGAGTTATATCAATGCGTAAGCATAATTCGATACTATACATAGAAAAAATATGTTCGCTTCATAGACCTTATTAAAAGGCTGTCGTAAATAAAAATGACAGCAGGGTTCATATTGAGTATCAAGTGCCGCATATTTCCAGTAACTCGTGAAAAGATTTTATCAAATATTGAAAGGAACTTGTGCGTGAAAAAAAGGATTAATTAATGGACCTATGGAAAAAGGATGTCATGCATACATTTGGTTATTTGCTATTTACCTAAATGTATGTTTATTGATACTAGAGTTATGTTCTGATATATATATATATATACATGTGTACATTGTATTTTGTCTTTATAAATTATTTATCTCTTGTATGTGCTTATGATCCTGTTTATATTCCAATATGACAATAGTTGAAAGCCCAGGATATAAGTCGGATTAAAACTGTCAAGTGGAAAATTGTGGAGAATAAAGACACAGATTAATATATTGCTTGCTTGATGTCTTTTTGTTGTGTTGTATTTGGCATGGTTTCGTAAACTGAATAAAAATGTTTGTTAAATGCACGGAAATATGCAACATCAATATAATCACAGTTTGCTATGCCTAGTATTCAACATTATTTTTGGCTTGGAAGATAAATATATAATTATACATAGAAACTTGCACAATTAGTGGTTAACTGGATGCATGTAAATCGGTATATCTTTATTATGACCTGATAACCGACCCCCACACCCCTACAAAATAATGAAAAATAACCAAAAAAAACCAAACCCGAACCCCAAAAAGAAAACCATTTAATCACAGAAATTTATTGATTACAATTTTGAATTTGTTTTTCAATGTAATTATCATAAGTTGCCCATCAGTTCTATGGTACAATATAAAAAAATATTACTTTTATGAGAAGATTCTGACATTTCGCTAGCTTTTAGACAATCGTTTCTTATTTTGTGATTATTTTCTTGTAATTTATGTGTTCATATTACCGTCCAGTTGCCGTACGTCAAGTTGCAAAACACAAGTAGCCCTTCTGCAGTCGTGGATGGGTATATAGTAGATACGTCACTTTCGAATGTTGAATAGAATTTTTTCAATTCGGTACAATCGTCTCCACAAATTTCTAAAATGTAAAAATCACTTGATAAGACTTTTAAAAAGCAGACAAAACTTCAACAAACAAATCATACATTTCATCTTCATCAAATATTAGATGGGATTTCATATGGAATAGCGATGTTTCGTAATTTTTTTTTATTGAGAGCCAGTATATAGTTTGTATCTCGCGCTACCTCTATTATTGCTGTGACGTTCTTTCAATAAGACACTTTTATGTTTATTTAATTTGTGGAGTATAAAAAACTATTTGGATGTTTTAGATAAATCACGATCATTTGATAATACGTTCATGTTGCACTTCTGTAAGTATAGACAATACAATTTCCCATAGGACATCCTCTTGCGGATAAAACTGTACCACTGTTACTATAAATTCCGTAAAAAAATATATCCTGGAATGAAAAGTTCTCATGCGCTACAATTTTTTGAAAGGATCAAAACATAGGGTTGTTCGGCACGTTTTTTTAAAACATTTATATGCCTCGAACTTCTAAGAGTTCAAACTTAACTGAAAATTCTGTTTTACTCCTCCCTTCACTTTGAGTCTTCCTGAGAATTCAATTTGACTGCCATCCAACTGTATTTATACTGATAAGTTACCAAAATTATGTCTCTATGATACGAAACATACATGGCGATCATATCTAGGAACAAGTAGATACATGTAAACAAAACAAAACATCAATGAATGTTAAGTATCCCTCAAAAGAGAGGTGGTGTGTGAAACAGATGTATTTACAAAGAGCAACCTTCAACTCAGTTGACAGTTAGGAGTTTCGAGTCTGTACACTACACTTCCACACATTCTTATCAAACAGAAATTTTCTTGTTTAATTAAATGGTTTTTTGAAAACTCTAATGTTAGATTAATGTGTTTCAACTCATATAAAGCCTTCTTCTGTAATAAAAAAAAAGGAAATATGCAAGATATACTTACTGTGGAACTGTGGTAGATAATTAAAGCTATAAATAAAGGCAACAGTAGTATACCGCTGTTCGAAACTCATAAATCGATAGAGATAAAAACAAATCCGGGTTACAAACTAAAACTGAGGGAAACGCATCAAATATAAGAGGAGAACAATGACACAACAAAAACACAACATTAAAATGTAACACACACAGAATCGAACTATATTATAACAATGGCCATTTTCCTGACTTGGTACAGGACATTTTAAGAAAAAAATGGTGGGTTGAACCTGGTTTTGTGGCATGCCAAACCTCCCGCTTTAATGGCAACGTCAAACACAACACCAAAACGACAACATCACATGACAGGACCACAATACAAATTGTCTCCTTGGTAGGATATGTCTTTACGTTCAGTTACAAATTTTATCGACAGGTTGTAGTTATTCTTTTGGGCACCTTTAATAGCAGTCGTGTGTCTGTATTGCTTTTAACCATAGTTTATGGCCGAAGTAACTATCAGTCTTATTCCATTAAATTGATAGATCTAATAACACTTACCGTTGCCTTTATGCTAAATCTGCTTAACATAATCGTGGATTCTATAATTATCATGAAAGGAACTTATTTGAAATAAATCTTATATAAACAGCAATAATTGTTCTTTTCTAAATTTGGATATTAAAGTTTCACACGGGAAAATCGATACAAAGATTTACGATAAAAGATTATTTTTTCGTTCCCTAATGTTAAGTATCCTTTTTGGACAATGATGTTCCTTTGGCATCTCCTTAAATTATGTATATTTTCCAACTCGTTTGCCATGCTCGTATCTGTAGTGATGTTTTAATTTCAACAAACGTAATTAATGTATAACTGGTAAAGTCACGTCATTCGTTACCAAAAATACTTCAAACTTTTACTAAATTCTTCAAAGATAAGACTATTTGGATTTGACGTTTGGCAGTACCTGTACAATTCTTATGTAGAAAGTTGAAGTTAACTTTTTGTTCTTGTTAAATCGATATTTTGATGTGATCGTAGTATACATCCGCTTTACCACATGACCAGTACAAAAATAATGCATACAAATACTTGAACATAAATAATTACATTAACTTGAAAAATATTTGAAACCTTTCGATCTCTTGTATGGATTTCTTTTTTACCTTGTTCTTTGACGCAAAACACGTCTCCATCTTTTTTCCTTTCACATATTTCTCCAGGTTTACAGGGATTTTCAAGGCATGTGTCATACTTAGGATCCTGATATAAAAAATGATAGATATTTGTAAAGAATAACCACGTAAATGTAATTTAGTTTGGTAGCTGTTGACGTCCTGTAGCAAATATTGCCACCATGTTTGAGACAAAAACACAATAATAGTCAGTTGTCTGATTATAACAATTTATGATCTAAAAAATAACTAATCCTAATCAAACGTGTACGCTGAAAAATGGAAAAGGTGTATAAGATTTTGTCGGAGAGGGAGAAGGGATACTATTCCTACAGCTGTTAGACATTAGGAAAATATTTTACAGATAAATGGTTTTCAGTTGGTCAATTGTTAAATATTGTAATCAAATCTAGTGTGTAAATAAATAAACAGAAGGCAACAATCATTATCCGTATTTAGTATAATAAAGCGCAATTGTATTTTATTTGTTTTAATCACCAAACAAAAATCCGTAATATAAGACATCTCAGAAATAAAAATATTTTAAAAAGCCATGTGGGACATATAAAATATAAGTGGGTAAAACGAAAAGTACATAAAAGAAAAAAAAATACATTTTTACTTTAACAGAAATTTAACCAATTATACAATGTTGGCATAAATCCTAGAAAAGACATTTAAAGAAGAAATCGCTGGAAGAGACACAAAACTTGTATATTATAAGTTTTGTATAACCCTTAAATGGGTAGAACGTACCATATAACTGAAAGCAAGTATAACAAAAATTTTACCAGTTCCTTTACAAAATTGGATCTCCTTTGCTCAAACAATATTAATGAGTTTTAATTGCTATAACTTATTCTTAGTATCGTTATTGAGAACTTAGGTAAATAGATCATATTTAAAGGCATTTTGACAGCTATTACAAGTCATGAGGATGTGAGCGTCATAGTCTATACTAATATGACCAATTTAATGATATACGGTTAGCAACTAAAAGTTTAAAAATGGTGTATCTTTTTGTCTTTGCAGTATGAAAACTTTTACAATTGGTACGAAAGTGTGCAAGACTACACAGCCGAAAAATACAGCTTTCATATTTGATAATATGTTTTAATTGCCTGTACAGTATGTTCTGAACGTATCATCAAAGGAAAAACCTACTCTCACTGATTTGAGCATCAGCTCATCAATCTGCTTAAAAAAAAATGTCGAATAGGTCTGTTTTCTTATATCTATAACTTAACCCATATTGAGATGTTTCAGAATAACATAAATTCAGCTTAACAAGCTTGCTCTTTATCATAAACTTTGCTTTGTTCTCTTTCAGTGTCTTCCATTAGTAAAGGATCGTAAATAGTGTATTCTTCAAATGCATGCATCGAATGTTATGTCTCTAGTTACGCAGATACATTTACTTTTTATATATCAAACAGATAACCCCACAATAAATGGTCTTACTCATTTCAAACTTGACATTTCTCATTTCCAAATTGAAATTTCACAGTTCAAGTTTATATTTGTGAGTCAACGTTTAAACTAAATCTGTCAATTTGGAAGTAAAAAATGTCAGGTTTGAAGTGAGATAAATCGAATTGGAGGAAGAACTATCAAGTTGGAGGAAAGAAATTGTCAAATGGGAACTGAAAAAATTGTACTTGGAACATAGAAATACCTACATGAAACTTAAAAATTTCAACTTGGTACGTAGAAATGTCAAGTTGTAAGTAAGAAATGTCAAAATTGACTGGAGAGTTTTTGAAAATAGAATGTCCTTAAAAGTGTTTTGTATATATATATATATATATATGGTCTAGCGCGTCGGGCATAGTGCAAGAACATAGAAATACCTACATGAAACTTAAAGATTTCAACTTGGTACGTATAAATGTCAAGTTGTAAGTAAGAAATGTCAAAATTGACTGGAGAATTTTTGAAAATAGAATGTCCTTAAAAGTCTTTTGTATATATATATATATATATAGTCTAGCGCGTCGGGCAAAGTGCAAGAATATACAGAATGTATTTTCAGCCTTGTATCACTATCACTGCTGGTGATCTGATGGATAAAATCTGTTGTAGAGTCGTCACTGGTTCAGACGTACTTATGATATAATTATTTCTGTGACAGCATCTTACATTAATTTGTAGGATCATTTACAATAGTTAAGTCAGCTGATCTGTAACAATTCCATCTTCATGACTTATATATCATGTACTGTGTTTCGACGCTAGATAAAAACTGACGAGGAAAGGTAACACCTGGCCACCGAAAGCTTTATTTTTATAGAGCCTAGGTGGTCGAGTGGTCTAGCGCGTCGGGCATAGTGCAAGGCGATTTGGTGCCACGATATCTCAGGAGTATGAGTTCGAATCCCAGCCAGGGAAGAACAAAAAATTTGCTTCCGCAAATTTACAGATCTAACATTGTTGTGCTGTTGTTTAGACGAATTATATATATATATATGTATATATATATACCAGTCTAAATTGGAAACAACGTTCAAACCTATGATTGCGTTGGATAAAAACCGTAATTTTTATACGTGTGCATGTAAAACAAATTTCTAGGTACAGAGGTCTAAATACAGCACAAACAACATTTTCCAAAAGATCAAAATAGTGAAAAAAGTATATTTTAACAAAACGCATTTTACTAACAGGTCGAACAACGGATGTTCGTAAACCCTGCTGACTGCCATTGGCGATTGCCAAATAAATTGATCACCAGTAAAAAATGGATCTTAATATTTATCCGGATTTCGACAATTAATGTCTCTTCAGTGATGTTAGGGATCGAAACGGTATTTGGAAGGCCATATAATTTACCTCAATTTAGGATAGACTCTTGAATTCTAAAGAGTCAAAATAGGATGAACGGATCATATAAACCCGAAAGACCGAAAAAGTGAAAAGTATATTTTAACAAAACGCATTTGACTAACAGGTCGAACAACTGATGTTCTTAAACCCTGCTGACTGCCATTGGTGATTGCCAAATAAACGGATCACCAGATGTAACAAAATGGATCTTATTATTAATTTATTACCAAACAGAAAACAATAAACTTGCGGAAAAAATGATTTACCGCAAACATGAAGTGCAAAAATTTGTACACCATATCCGGATTTCGACAATTATTGTCTCTTCGGTGATGTTAGGAATCGAAACAGTATTTGGAATGCCATATAATTTACCTCAATTTAGGATAGACTCTTGAATTTTGAATGAGTCGAAATAGGATGAACGGATCATATAAACCCGAAGGCAAGTATAATACAAGCCCAAACGAAAAAATATAAACAAGTCTAAATTGAAAACAAAGTTCAAACCTATGATTGCGTTGGATAAAAACCGCAATTTTTATACGTGTTCATGCAATACAAATTTCTTGGTAGAGGGGTCTAAATACAGCACAAACAACATTTTCCAAAAGACCAAAAAAGTGAAAAAGTATATTTTAACAAAACGCATTTGACTAGCAGGTCGAACAATTGTAGTTCTTAAACCCTGCTGACTGCCATTGGCGATTGCCAAAAAAAAAAAACGGATCACCAGATGTAACAAAATGGATCTTCTTATTAATTTATTACCAAACAGAAAACAATAAATATATATATATATATATCAATAGGTATTACTTTTCCTTTTTGTTTTCTAACGTTAAGATCAATGTAAATGTTATACTTACCCCTCTGTAATGATCAACTTCTACAAAAATAAATCCAACGGCGTTCGGGAAGTCATTATGAGAAACAGATGTTGGTTGATAGTTCAGTTCGCAACGTAATACATGTCTATTATAATTGTAAGAATGGCATCTTGGTCTCCGGATACATTTGTCAAAACATCCCCGCGGGGATATGTTCTCAAACGTACGAATCTTGTATCCATCGAGTTTTGTGTCAATCTTGTCTGGGTTCACATGAAAAATTCCAGATGTGCATTGTTCTGTAGATACTAGAAGCATATCAGCTAAAAGTATCAACAATTGTCCAAAACTAAATAGCATGTTGTTAGAAAGTTTTGAGGTCGTCAATATTCTTAAAACAACAATTTTCAAAGCATTTATGGATGCTATGCTTCATCCTTTAATACTTTTCATCGTACATTAAATATATATTCGTAATTATACATGTGATATATTTGCTAAAAACTTCCGAGTATCGTATTCATAATTATCCAATCGAGAGTGTCATAACTGGAAAGAGGTTATCATGATACTACGAACGTAGATTGCAAATTACGTTCCGATTTGTGTCTTTTAGTAGTCTTGCAATCTAATGGGTGCAACTAGAAATAGGAAATAGAAGGCAGATTAACAATAAAATGGCCAAGATTAAAAAAATATTAAAAACAATTAAAGACCTTTAAAAAACAACATTAAATATATAAAGAAATGTATCATCATAATTTCCACTGAAACAATGGTCAAAATTAGGTAATTTAGAAAAGTAGCCTTTTAAGGTCCTAAGTTTAACATATTGTCTTTAAAGTGTTAAAATATGATTATAAGATACATTCTGCTATATAACACTTTGTTATAGGAAATTGTTAGTACTTGATACTTGATGATTCTTGTATAAAAAAAATAACTACTTTAGAAACATTGTTATTTGTAAACCACATTCCATGAGAAATAATGGAATGACCATGTATGACTTTGATTTGTAGATTGTATTAATTGTTTTAATAAGGTAAGTCACCATACTATATGGGATCCTTTAATTTAATTTGAAACATTAAAAAAGATAAGAACTACAAAATACCACCAACGACAATGAAAAACTTACAGCACCATTTCTGGTGAGGAGAATGCTTGTGTGTAGGTCTTAGTAAATATAATATAAGATATTCTGAACTTTACGACATAACATTTATTATAAAAAAATGTAAAACGACAAAAAGACAAAAAACAGTATCATAAAAGCAACAGAGAAAACTAAAAATTGATCAACGCTTATCCCACATAAACAGGTACTCTGGAAGGGTAAGCAGATCCTAATCCACATGTGACATCCGTCTTGTTGCTCATGTAAATACAAATTCGATAATAAGTTTTATTTGGTGATGTCACAATTGAGGAAAAGAGGACGTGATTGTGGTTTCGACAAGTCAAATTGTACCTTAATTAAGGTTCTTAATTTCCCCTTTTGCTTCTACTGCTCATATCGACTTTGTGTTTATTTTTTTATTACTTTGCCTTCGAACATGAATGATGAAACGTTTCCAGAAAAGCATTTTAGAACTCTTTATCTTTTTTTCAAAATATAGTAAATGGACAAATATATAGGATTTCAACAATAACGTGTTTAGTATCGTTCCTTCGTAATGACTTGCTGAATAATCAAATATTCTTAAACTAAAGTTGTTAATCCGTTCAAGTTAACTCTCACTCTTTTAAGGAACTTTTGATATCAAAGTGCTTAAGCTTTTTTATATTTAGCTTTCAAAGCATTGGTCACTTGCATGCGTAATATAGATGTTATACATGTAACAGTACTTGTCATTGTACCGACTAAAGTGTAGGTATTATACTTTTGAATAATAACAGTTTGAAGAGTACCAACCTCGATTTCCAGTTTTTAGAGGCTCATAAACGTTAGAACTAGGATTTCAATTCTTCAAATATTTTAACCTCGAGCATCAATGGGAAGAAATTGTTGTCAAAATGCACATCAGGTGTAATGGAATTGGTACCGTTAATGTTATTACTACGACTGAGTCAATACCCCTGTTGGTTGACTGTAAGGCCCATTGATACTGATAGTCAGTATTTCGGTACTGACATGAAAAAAAAACCCCGAATATTGATTTATTGAAATGTGCTTGTTTTAAAATTACAAAATCGTTTTAAATTAAGAAATATACTTCCCTCATGTATAGCTCCTTTTCGAGTTCGGCTTTACTTTCGGTATTGTTTTTGGTTTAATCAGCACTTAAGCGTGTATATTTAGTTTCGATTATCAAATATTTTGGCCTCAAGCATAACTGTAGGGACATTCAGAGACAAAGAGCTTAAAATGGTTAATGGTTTATTTTATTGATTAATAGAGAGGTATGATACGGGCATTTTTTTTGCCACTTGATTCCTTATTCTGAATGATATATTCCTTTATGATATGACATTATTAAGATGACGAGAAGACATCCTCCTGTAAGGGTTCAATCTAATATTGTTTTTATTTTGTCATCGTTATGTCCTTTCTATTGTTATATCAAAATTTTACTGCATGAACAACACGACGAGTGCCCTCGGTTAATTCTATAGCTTCAAACATCTGTTTTTTTTCCGGACATTTAAACTATCTTTCCTGTAGGATTTTATTACGGATGACATGCGAACAGGACGAATTAACCCACCTTGTATGTGGGAGACGATAAAAAAAAAGGCAATCATTGGCTCGATGAAAACGTTAAACAAAGCATGTATAAAATGTTTCATGTAAAATTAATTCAAATTATTTAAATTCATATAATTAAATTGTTTAGTACATGGTGTACAGCTGTTCCTGTCATTTAAATTTTTTATTATTCATGACTAGTTTTTTCATTTTGGTCAAATAATCCATCCACGAATGCAAGTATTACTAAAAATAATAACATTAAAAAAGTTAAAATTACGTAAATTGGATTATGAAATATAAGTATTGACGGCTGCATAATACTGCCGTCTAAAATTGCAAATATGCTTTTTTTTCCAAATATAGTAAAATAATTTGGCTGTAAAATGGCACGGTTCAATTAAAAAAAAATACATAGGTTAATAAATATTTATCAAATCATAACCAAGTTTCATAACCAATTCCGAAAGCAACAGTGGATACCTAGGTTATAGAAATTCGGAAATTGGACTTCGTCATCGAGAATCGTGAACCTCTTTCAGAAACCGTTACACCGTAGGTTATGCATGATGTTATACACACAAAGTTCCCTGTCCTGTGATGCGACACCTCCTCGCATCAGGGAAACCGTTTGGTTGTGTAGGATTTCATATTCACAACCAACGTCCTTCGTAGGGGAAAGTTTAAATCCTAGTGATGTGTTGTTAAAACCTCCACTCTCTATGCATGCTAAAGATCCATTGTTTCAGATCATCAGTGATCCTTATGCAAGTTTTTGGGCTTATCTTTCCGCCTCTATCCAATTTACTCTTTTTTTCAGAGGCAATCATAATTTTATGTCCAGTAGTCCATCGCCTATCGCAAATTGGTTTATTGTTTAATAACTTTTTCTCGTCCTGATTATATCTGAAATACAGTATGGCTGACGTTAAGGTGGCTCACCCCAATAAGGACCCCCGGTAGAATTTTTTTATTTTCACATATTTTGTAGATCTTTTTATGCTGAATCCAAAAATGCAAAGAAAAAAGGGGGTCACTTGGCTCGTTTTCGCCTCAAATGGAAGCGAAGTGTGCAATTTTGACCCTATTTCCAAACATTTCCACCCTTTCAACAATAACGGCTACATCAAATTCAAAGACTTTTAGAACCATGTCAATATGATTATTATGTGAAAAAACATTACAATTTGAAATGTTAACGTTTTCCCTTGGTTGTTTTAGACCTAAAAGTCCTTTTATTTACAGATTTATGTCTAAATTTAGCATTTTCTAATTTCAGTTCAAGGCTAAAAATATTGGTTAAATCAATTTTTCGTAAAATTTCCCCGGTAGATTTTGTTTAAAAACGGATATGTCAAAGCTATGAACTTTTCGAGCATTTTAAGGTAAAATAAAATTGGGGTTCACCAGGCTTTTAATAAAAGTTACGGACTTTTGTTTAACCCCTCTACCCCATGAGGTCTGATTTCAATGCACTCCAATAATTACTTTGCTGTTAATTCTTTATTGATTGCTCTAATAAAATAATGTTTGCAATTATACATGTATCAATGGACGATAGCTGAATATAAATGTGATTAACATATAACTGTTTGTTATAAAAAAGCGAAATTTTGATTACTTTGGGGAAATACGGTAATTTTGTCTGGCGCGAGTTGTTTCCCTCTAAATTGGCGCCATAATCGGACACCAGAAATTTCAGGATCGCCATTGTTGATCAGAATACACCACTGATGAATACGACCATGTACATGAATAACAGAAAGTGGCGAATAGACAACGATGTAGGTAGAGTCATTACATTAGAAAACATAGATTTTAATATTTTAGGCAGCTACATGTTATCAGTATCACGAAAAATATAAAGTGGGGGGTTGTCTCAAAATACTCACTACTGTAGAAAATCTCTGCGCCTGAAACCTTGCAAAGCTAAATTTCTGTTCTATGTATAATCTTTATGGCTGGTATCTTATTTATGTGTTCATTTGATCCTTAACTGGCAAGTTGTGAACATGTATAGCCTGTTGGGAAAACATCGAGGGGATGGACAGGGTATTGTGTTTTCGACCGTCTTACGTTTTCGACCTAATTCTACTTTCACTTCCCGCATGCTGCGCATGCCCGTTTGACGTCATATTTGGCTGCTATATTTAGTAACAATAGCAAATAATACCACGTGTGATGAAGATGTTTCAAGTAAAGTTATTATAATTAAGTTTTTACGTTATTTTATTTGATATCACATTTTTGTACCTTTTCACTTATACTATTTTTACCTTCCACAAGAATCTATCAAAAATAAACAAATATTCTAGAAATATGGCCGAGGTCTTTTAGCATGTGAAGTTACATCAAGGTCATTAAGTCACATGACTGTCATGTGGTTAGTTGTAATACTTAAAGTTATTTTTAAAACGGAAATGTGGATGATCCTTACAGCTTTTTGCTGAAAAAATAAAATATCAATTAATTTTAATTCACAGAAACAGCAGTCTGTCAGGAGAGATTACAGACAATACTCACCAACCTCACTTCACAATGCCTTCACTAAAGTATATTGAACAGAAACATGACTGTATATAATGTCCTACAAGGGTCTACAAGGCTTCCGAAGTGCCTCATGTGAAATGTGTACAACTAGTCAAATAAAGATATCAAAATAATATTTTATATCTTATAGTTGTATATGTCACCATTTAAT